GGGGGGGGGGGGGGGGGTATTTTGGCTTTAACATTATGTTATCTTTTTTAGTAACCATATATTTTACATAATTTTATTTGTCCATAAGTAATGAAATATCTAAATTTTTGGGATAAAAAATCTGGGAGGCAATAATATTGACAAACCATACAAGAATGTTGCCTGTGGAGTTTATTTTACTGATTAAAATACTCTCATAAGGTGATTTTTTTGGCCGAAACATGTTCAATGTTCCTGTTTCAGAGTTTTTACGAAAAAGAATATCTTTTTTTTTCAAAACCTTGAAAAAGTATATTAAATTTAATGGAAGACTTGAAAAACTCCTAAAATCAGACTTTTAAGTTTTCAAAAAAACTTCAAAAAAATTTAAACTTCATAAGTTTTAAAGAAAAGGTAGATTTTATGCAAAAACTATCAAATGAACACAATTTATGTATTAGTGGAAAAATAGGCATGACACGTGGACTAACGATATGGTGACAAGTGGCATTTGCATCAAGTTAACAAAGATGAATGATGAGGCATGATTAAAATACCCATGGGATTTATAGAAGAAGGTATCGTATCTGACAATTGGGAAAGAAGAAATGGGCACGAGACGCATGAAGGCCATAAATTAATGAGGAAGATTCATGAACAGTTACGAATATGGAAAGAGAATCGGAATTATCCCTGATTACGTGCGATTACCTATTATTACCATAACCGTTACGAGTAATTTCAGTAACGGACAATTAATGCAGTTAATGCCAGTAACGGGCATGAATTAAGTGAGAGGAAACCGTTACATCTTTGTATCCTTATATAAGGGTTGTTACTTTATTGTACGATCATCAGAATACTGACAAATATATGCAATCTGTCTTTTACTTTTATATCATACTTAATTGAAGATTCTTATTCACACTTCTTGGGAGAATACAACGATCATTAATAAGATTTCTTTGTTGCATCTTACTCTCTTATTTTAATATTTTATTTTTGGAAAAGTGAAGTAAATAGGCACTTTTCGGTTACCAAAGAAGAGATTAATTTGTTAATCAAGTTATTAAAACGCGATAAGAAGGTGGAGGATTAGGTCATTTGAGAAGGGGTCATTGGTGCGAACAACAATAACAACAATAATTAATTCAGTCCCAAATAAGTTGACTTCGCCTCTATGAATGCCGATCCCATGCTGAAATAAATAAGAGAGTTGCGGTAATTATTCAATTCATGATAAATTCTCATAATATAAGTGTCAGTGCGAACATAATATAAAAGTAAAAGCAATATTTAAAATAATTCATGAACTGAAACTGAGAAAAGAGAACCAAGATAGTAACTAATTAATACTATAGTTTAGTAGGGATAAGAATATTAATTGAGTGATTAGAGAGTACCAAACAAGGTCGTCCCATTCTAAGAAGATTTGCAAAATCCACAGACTGCATTCTTAATACCCTAATTAAAGAACACCCCATCAACCCCCCTCCCCCCCTCAAAGAAAATTATTGATACACAAACATAGAGGAAAACACAAAAATTTCCCAACTTGGGTTCTTTTCTTGTCCTCTTTTTGAGTTTTTTATTTTTATTTTTTCACACGATATTCTTTATCTGCATTTGATCCTGATTAACGAAACCCTTGCTTGTTTATCCCGATGAGGGTTTATGAATTACTCAAACGAGCCTTTCTAGAAATTTGTGACGCATAAGATTTATTAAAGTAAAAGCATTTCCTATAAGATTTTTTTCATTCACGAGATTTAAACTCGAGATCTCTTATTAAAGACTGAGAAATTCTATTCATGCTATCACATTCTTTAATGATTCATTAATGTATTTATTTGAGAACCAACTATATTGAAGTGATCTTAAGCAAGTTGACTTTTTTATGAGTCTAGTACCTAGTTCTAACATGCTATATATGGTTGTTCAAAGTTACGCATAAGGACAGCAAAAAATATCAGATTCAACAACCTTTATCTCTAGAAACTCCTAAAACAGGTGAGGAAAGAAGTCAAAGTAGTTAAGCAAAAGATCAATGAATTTTAAATTGCAAATTTTTATAATGATGAGATTCTGACTTTAAAAAGTCGGCTCGATGCACTAAGCTCTCGTTATGTGCGGGGTTCGAGGAAGGACCGGACTACAAAGATTTATTGTACGCAGTTTTACCATATATTTCTACAAAAGGTTGTTTCCACGGGTCGAACTCGTGACATCTTAGTCACATGGCAGCAACTTTACCGGTGTAAAGAATTATTATGCTATAATTGTAATTTAATCGATTATAACAAGTTAATTATATCTTTCAAATTATCATATCAAGACTATGAAATACATATTGTTTTAAAATAACTGGATACTGTAAAAGTTCTGTATTATATTAGTGCACAGAACTTAAACTCTATGATATTTAGCAGTTAGGGTGGGGAAAGCCTATACCAATTTTGAATGTTCAAGAATGTTCTTAGAATTTGATTGAAGATTTGCCAGCAAAGACACTCTAATATTTTATTTTAATAATTGTAAATGGCTAGCTAATCACTTACTGTTCCACTTAACCTTTTGAATAATCAGAATTTGATTTGATAATTTCAATTGTTAAATTGGAACCTGTAATGGTCATTGGCAGTTTGGCACTAATTCTGATAGAATTCAATTAGAGGTGATAATGAAAATGACAGTGACAGTGACAATGATAGTGATTTAGAAGATGATTGTAATTTATTCTCTAATTAAATCATTCCACACTTGATGATTAGGCCAATAAATAATTAATTTAGAAGATGATTGTAATTTTACTTCTCTCACCATTGTGAGCTATTATTTACCATTAAAACTTAAAAGCACAACTTATATGCATTGACGGTGTAAGATTTATATATACAATCAGATTACTTATTAGGCATTATTTGATAAAAATAATAACTTTATGCTATCACAAGTTACACTTACGAGTTAAAATTTACAGGGGCAGCCCGGTGCACTAAGCTCTCGCTATGCGCGGATTTCGGGGAAGACGAGTTAAAATTTACGGATAGTACAAAAATCGTAACATTATCGGTATATATAACTTAGTTTTTAAAAGGAAAAGTTAACTGGCATACACTTGTATAATGATCCACAAATTGTGCTGTGACTAAGGTTAATTTTCTTATAATCACATCATAATGGCAATTTGACTTTATTTAATACTTATTAGGAGATGACAGTGGTGGGTAGGCATAGCTATTTTTTACCTTTTTTTTTTACTCGCTGAAGCACTTGAAACAACAAAAGTAATCACAAAATTCATTGTTTAAGCTTTAGAAGACGCAATAATTGTAGAAGATTAATAATAAATAAATAAATAAATAAAAACTAAGAACAATACAAGACGATAACCACAACACACCATTAAGAAGATAACTCAAAGATTAAGTATATTAATTAAATTTGACCTTGAAAATGCTTGTGGAATACCCTATACCAAAATATCTATCACTTTCAACGATATGTGTAAAGTGTTAGATCAAATAGAAACGAAAAAGATATCTGTCACTGTCATCGCATAGAACTGCAAATTGTGATACAACTCCTTATTGATAATAATTGGAACCCGGTTTTCGAGTCTCGGGAATGAAGTCGTCTTTGCTAAGGAGTGTTTTACCCCGTCTATTGCGATGCGAATCCGAATTTAATCGGTAGGTACGGACATCAATTGAGAAATTAAAAAAATCAATTGGACACCAGCCAATTCAAAAAATAAAGGGTATATATATTTATAGACCTACAGAGAAACATTTGGAATTATTTTAAGACGATACCTAAGTTGAAAGAAATTGAGAGGAAAAATGAGGGAAACTTCAACATTGGAAAGTTGATTGATAATTAAAAATTCCTAGGAAATAGTAAATACCAAGTGCAAATTGACAGGTCCATTGAACTCAAAACACCTAAACTTTACCTATCTGAATTAGACAAATTCCATTTAAGACAAGAAATAGAGACAGTGAAGACAACACCCATCTTCCAAAGATCACAATCAAGGGTTGTAAATGAAACAAATAGGATCCCTGACCTTGAGATCTCGAGTTCGAACCTCAAAAATAAGAGAATTCAATGCTTGACTTGAGATTTCGAGTTCGAACCTTAAAAATAAGAAAATTTTGATAGAAAATGCTTCCCCTTTAATGAAATCCAAATAGACAACGGCATGCATTTGTAGACTGATTTGCGTAGAAATGAAATATTCACATAAACAACACATTATTCAAATTTTTAGACAAAAGTACACATTGGGGAGGTGGGGCTAACCAAACAATGTATAGAATCGTAGAAGCAAATCCACATTTCAAAATTTTCCATAACTTAAATATACAAAACATAGTATTCGGGTACACATTATTTAGATATTATCCATGTAATTTACAATCAGCACCCAAAAAGGCACTTCTCCAAACAACTGATAATTTACAAGAAATACCAATTTCAGTCAAAATTGGATTCAGTTCTTTTTTCTTTTTTCCTTATCTCTTTTTTTGCTTTAGAAATCATGGCTCAGCCTAAGAAATTGCAAGATGTAGTCGCACCTCCAGCCAAAAATGGATTTTAGCTCTGCTTTTTGTCCTTATTCCATTTTTTTCTCCCGCTTCTTCTTCATTCATCTCTAATGCTTTCAGTAAAAAAGTTTTCGATATACTTCCAATCTCCAGCATGTGGTCAGTGCACATTTCTTCATGTGCTCTCAGTTGTTTTCCGCAAAGAAGTAAAATTAAACCTGCAAAGAAGTGCATATATCACCGATCAAAAAGCGCCTCTAGAGAAGTTCACTCGTTCAATTTGGCAGAGTAGATACAATACCTAATGAGAGGCTTCTGAGGAACCACAAATGCTTCAGAAGCAATGCTGGAGGACGGTGCTGCTAGCTCAATCGGCTTTCAGGGGCAAGGGAAAGAAGCAAAAAGAACAGATTTTCGTCAGTGTTCCTGTCTAACAGTACTGGATACAAAATTTTGCATACAAGACTATCATTCACAAAAGCAACTTGGAACATGTCAAGCTTTTAAATTTGTCTAATGCTTCCGGTCACACCAACATGCAACATTACGTGCCTTAGAAACTACCAAAGCAACAAAATGTACAAATATTGCAGGTGACACTAACAAAGCTTTCTCAGGGAAATCCAAAGGAAGATTTGAACAGAAAGCAATGCAAAAGATATTTTGGTAAGATTCTTAAAATAGCCATTCTTATTCCCTCTATTTCTCTGACATAACATATAAGGGCGATGATAAATTGGACTCACCAAAAAAAATATATTGACGAGTTACAGTGGACTATCAAATTATCACAGCACCTTGCAAAATTGCACTTTTTATCCCAATTCTGATCAACAATTAAACATCTGACGGCAACAAGCACCAAATTTTACAAAGAGCTTGGAGCTAAAAAATGGGAACGAACTGGAAAAAACAAATAAGGAAAGTGGCCTTCTGGTATATTCCATGCTCCACATAAAAGACTGGTTCACTTTTTTGTTGCAACAAGTAACTAACAACAAAATGCTGCCATATTTAAAATGAATTCCAAAAAGACTACTCATAATTTAGGGCCAATAAGAATCAGATGATTTCCTTAACATGGCAGTTTGTGTTAGAACCTTCAATTGCGGGACAAGACTTGCACCAAAGACATCAAAGAAAAGCACAATTAACTAGTTTAATCAACTGTTCTGTTATATTCCATAGGTCCACAATGTTAGTCTCGGTATCATACATTATCTATACAAAAAAGTCTCGAACACAAAAGCTGAAAAGAAGAAAAAGATTAAGGAGATTTGTATGATGCAACTGCAGATGGACAGACTGAGGGTGCACAAAATCAGGATCTCAATAGACATATTCGATATATTCTGCATTAAAGAAAATAAGTGTATGAAGTTTGAAGACAACCTCAAGTTCTTCCAAGCCCTCGCTTTGTAGGACCTTATGGCTAGAACCACCAATTCTGTCCTTTTCCTCTGATGTTGTTGCCTCAACCATTTCCTCTGCTGTTGGGGGCTCCATCTGCAGTTCATTTGCCCCATCAAAATGCTTGACTCCATTTGTCAATTCCAGTTCATCCCCAGGATCTTCAAAACCATGAGATCCACTTTGATGGCCCACAGTCGGTTCTGCAGATTGCTTGACTGCTATTGTCTCTGTTACAGCTGCACATGATGAAGGCACAGGCAACATGCTTTTGACAGAAACTTCAATTTGGTTATCAACAAGCCCACCACTATTCAAGGTATCACCAATATCAGCTTCAAATCGCTTCAACTCTCTAGTTTCACCTGGTGAGCTGGCATCACTGCTACTCATGGCCAGGCAAGACTCTTTTGAGGTAAAACCTGTATTAACTTCGTCGTGCTTTCTCTTTCTGCTAAAAGCAGCATCTACAGATGTTGCCTTAGCAGAACCAAGTGATTTTGAAACTGAACGACTTTCACTTCTTGCAGGCTGAGCAGGACGCACTCCTCCAGGGAAGACAAAATTAGGAAGGTCTTTTCGTCTGACATGACACACATGAATCCACATGCTAGATGTCCAAAAAGAATATGCATAGACATCTCGCTTAAAATCCTCAACTGTCAACCTTATATCAAATTGTTCGCCTTGTTGAGGATTTGTACCTTGTTTTCTACGTAATCCCATAAAATAAGAATGGTGAAACGGCTTAGATTTATCTGAAAATTCACCCGGATGTGGATGGCATTGAAGTACACCAGCAGTGTCTCTCTCAATCTGGATGAATAAAGCATGGAAACTTCATTAATTCAGTGCCTTTGGCGAAGCAATAGAGACGAAGTCATCAAAATGTGAAGCAGAAGAAAGAAACATCACCTTTAGAGTAAGCAGGCGTATCCTAGATTCAACCCATCCTTTCCATTTCCTCATGTCATCCTCACTTTCTGTAGCTATGTCTATCCGCAAATAGTTTCTATAGGCTTCAAAAAAAGCGAAAGGCTCACAAAGACTTTCCCAGCTAGCTTTGTTAGCTTCTATTGCCTATGCACACAAAATGAGTCAGGGAAAGAAGACTTCAATTGATGAAAATAGGAATAACAAACTGGAAGATAACAGCAATTGGATTAGAATAAAAGTCATGACTGTAGAGCATTGGTGCCGCAAAAACTAAATGAAGAAGTCTAAAAAGAAATTAGGGGGAGAACCAAGTATCTTAACCATGAGCACCAAATTCACTATATACGCATGCTTGAACCGCCAAAACAAACATTTAAGAGGAATGCCACACTCAATTGAATAAACATGCTTGAGCAACATCCAAAATCTTAGTTTTGGTTTTTATCTGTATTTAGTTAATAAAAATTAAATGGGGTAAATTAACTCAATAGGAGAACCAATAGGAAGAAAAAACCGGCAGATCGCATTGATTGCATTCAGTACAATAGAAAAAGCAGTAAACCCGACAAAAACTGAGCACGCATATATACCTCACAAAGTTCATTCCCTCTCTGAAATTCTTCTGTCATGACACGCAAGGTACTGGTTGAAACATTGTAGCTAGAATTCATGCAGGGGTATGCTGGAGTTATTATCGGCATTAGATGCTGCCTATCTTTGAAATTCCTCCGAGGATCCCAATAAGCAAGCCCAAGAGATCCTTCATTTATTGGACACAGCAAAACTGGGTTTGGCCAGCGCCACAAACTGTAGACTCTAAAAAACCGAGAGACCAACATGCTAGGAACTGCATTTGGATAAAGTTGGCAAATCCGAGCAACAAGCAATGCCCAATTAATACCGCCAAGAAATCCAGTAACCTGGTCAAAAGTGACACAAGTTTAAGAGAAGCAGACTGACTTTCACCAAGATGTCAGGCACTGTACCTTTAAGGACACAAAAGATTGTACAAGGGGTTATGTTGGATACTTACATTTGAGTAAACTCCACGCCTTTTTGCCCACAGTCTCATGCATCTCAGTGCGGTGCGGAAACTCTGCAGGACCAAAGAGGGGGGAAAGATTAAGCATAAAGTTTCAAAGCAAATGCAATTTACATAATTGTGAGGCAACAACCTGGATATTGGGTACTAAATGCAAAACTTGATCCGTTACTCTGCATCCATTAAGACTACGAACAGTCTGCTCATCCACATTCTGTAGTATGGACTCCTGTGAAACATCCAAATCCTGCAAGAGACAAATAGGACTAAAATCCAGAAGTTTACAGATTACAGAATTTATTTCAACAGCATAACAAGTTATTTCAGATTAATAGGATGACGACATCAGAATTATGATGGTTCTAAAACCACAAGGAAAGCAGAGTATAGTCATCAGCACACAACAGGGCAGAAGATAAATGAAGACTACTGATAATTGTTAACGTTACTGAATAGTAATTAGGAATGGCCTCTCAATATTTCAGATTTAGAAAAGGTAAACAAGAATCTAATACTCTTTTTAGATACCTTGAAGTAGTCAAGAGTTCCAGAAATAGTCCTCATGCAATTGCAGAAAAAAGCATGCTAAGTTGCATATACAAGCAAGAGCCAGGAGAAGTAGCAAGTAATTATGCGCAAATTCACACTCGCCACCCCCCAATAGGGCCCTCCTTTCAGATGTTCAATTGTTATTAAGAGCCTAAACCAAACCTATATCCTCATAGATCACCAGTTGAAGTTTTCAAAACCATCCATTGTTCTTTAATAAACATCAAGTGGCTGCTTAAAGATACAGCAAAACTGTGGTAGCTTTCCCTTTACAAAGACCAGCTACTACTTACATCCAAATAAAAAAGGAAGGGAGATAATAAAATCTTCCTATCCAACCATGTTATTCACAAGTAACATTCTATACCAAAAAAGCTGAAGACAACAACCATTGAGCCTTCAGTTTCTCAGTAGGAGTCAAACTCCTTTCAAATCATCATCTATCTCCACAAAATGCAGCAAAGGCTGTAATTCCATATTTCCCTACTTCCACTTCTGTCCTTCATCCATACCAACTGCAAGAAGCAACTTAAGGGTATGTGGCACGACCTACTTTATCCCAACTAAGTTTAGAGCATATCGCACATTTCCTTGGCTACTTTAAAATTTTAATTAGGAAAATGAAAAGGTAAATGCATCAAAGTAAGATGTGGAACCCCGGGAAACACCATGTCAGGTTCACCAATTCAACCAATTATCAAGAAGATATGCAGTAGTATATAACAAAGGTAAATAGCACATCAGAAGACAGATTTTCTAGACTGCAGATGGTGCATCTCAAAACAAGTGTGTAATCAGTCACATACAAGAGAATCATACCTCAGGAATAACCCAGAGTGCTACATTTGCATAAAGAAGGTCTATAGAAACACCATTAAACTTGAACTTCATAACAGGAACATGAGCATCAGGTACAGGATGAAGTTCTTGTATTTCAGGCATCTCTTCAAGCATCCTATGAAGTTCGCCAAAGAAGTCCTGCAATGTAAGAGGAATATTACAGGCATCAACCTTCAGCATAGAAACCAAAAATTAAAGGATGTAAACTGAAAAGGCTGTCATCCTACATCACGAGTCGCATGTCTAGGTCCTACACATAGAGTGTCTATATCAGCACCAGGGCCATGTACCTGTTAAAGACAACCCCGAAACAAAAGTCAACTTGATAAGTGAAATGGTAAAATTACCTGACAAGCAAGATAACCTAAAATTCCTTGAAGCCAAGCAGCATAATATACAAAATAGACCTTCGGTCCTTTATAGACTTAAATCACTTTTTCTCTAACATTTATTCACAATACCAGAATGTAATATCTATACTATCTAAAGTTTCTCCTTGCAGTTTCCAGTCCTGCTTCAAAAAGGGTCCCCAACTACTGTAAAATATCACCGCATAATCCCTCCCCTTGACATCCCAAAAGTTAAAAACCTAATTAACTAAAAACATCACAATGATTAGAAAAGATCAAATTGTAAAACCAACACCAGCAGGGTTCATAAATAACACAAGAACCGAGAAACACTATAGAATTGATGGGAGAAGGAAGAAACAAGTTAACAACACCCAATTATTCTTGCTAACAGAGGTTGTCACAAGGTTGTTATAAATTAAAGGATGTGCACCAAATTGGAGAAAATTTAAAGACCAAATACCCAAATACTCCCCC